GCCAAAGGCAGCTTGCTGGTCTTGGTAGGATCTATCCCCTTAATTCAAAACAATAACTGTTCATTGGGCTTGTCTCCTTGTCTTCAGAAAGCCTAGCAACTTGAAACCTGATATGGCATCAAAGTATTACGATCATTAGATGCAAAGGTACTGTGCAGTTGTTATATTTAAAGAAACATTTCTTTTGATTTATCCTAGCAGTGAGAGCCTCCATTTTTTATTGCACCTCGTGGATGGAACTAGAGGGTATCATGCTTAGCGAAATAAGTCAATCAGAGAAGGAAAACTATCATATGATCTCCCTGATATGAGGAAGTGGAGATGCAACATGGAGGGGTTAAGGGGGTAGGAGAAGAATAAATGAAACAAGATGGGATTGGGAGGGAGACAAACCATAAGTGACTCTTAATCTCACAAAACAAACTGAGGGTTGCTGGGGGGAGGGGGATTGGGAGAGGGGGATGGGGTTAGGGACATTGGGGAGGGTATGTGCTATGGTGAGTGCTGTGAAGTGTGTAAACCTGGCGATTCACAGACCTGTACCCCTGGGGATAAAAATATATTATATGTTTATAAAAAAATAATTAAAAAAAAAAAGAAAAAAAGAAACAAACTAACCCCTTAGAGGAAAAATCAATGAGCGGTTGTGACTCCTCTTGTGCTGTGTAGGGAAGAATAATCCACCAGATTCCCAGAGCTAGCGTCTGTATCCTGAAAATGCAGTCTTTGAAAACAGCAAGTGAGCATAGCAGACATGTTCTAGAATATCAGTCATGCCTCTGTTCTGACTCATATGCATGTTTAGCTTTTCTGTTTCCATTTAGAAAATAGACTTTCTAGGTCTAACAGTAATTTGACCTCTACAGTACCCAGCATTAGTTTAATGAAAGGTTGTACTCCTCACTTGTCAAAACCAGCTTGAGCAGAAATGCATTTGCAAAGCACAGGGTGGGAAGCTTTAGGTGGATAGTAACGGCAGTCAGCTATAAGGACTCATGCCTAAGTACTGGGTTTTATGTGTTTCTCTCCATCTTTAAGCTCTTGATATTTTATTTATTTATTTATTTGTGCGTTTGTTTTTGTTAAACAAAGTGCAATATTTGGTGTATCTCATGGGATAAACATGGGGATTTTGATTACTCAGACCTGAGGCAGTCATATTGCGTGGCTTTTTAGTAGAAGTCTTTGTTTTATGCTTTTATGTGGATTCTCTTCTCTTCCTATCTTCAAAGCCTTACGTAAATTTGGGTAATATTCATGACAAAAGAAGGCAGAGGATTCATTTCATTCTTTTAGTAAGCTGAGATATTAGAGAGGAGGAAGTGGTGCTATGTATTATTATACCCCTCTGAGAATAAACATTTTTACTTGCCTCAAGCGTTTGTTGGAGTTATTAAGTTTGGTCTTCTCTCTTTCTCATTTCTTTTCTTTGGCTGGCTGCCTTGCATTGACAGCATCAGTCTTAGAGTTTGACCAGCCAAGATGATTATTTATGCAATGGTCTCCTTCACTGAAGGGATTTTACTAAATTATCTAAAAACTAAACTTTGTATCATAGAGTGATGGCATTTATTCTTTTCTGGTTTAGATTTTGTGAGCACATGTCAAAAATTGACATCAAATCCCATAAAAAATCATGATTCTCTTGTCTGTGAAGGCTAATATATTTTGTATTTAAAAAAAAGCTGTGTGTACGTGCACTTGATATACCTTTTTTTTTAAAAATGTGCTATGATCAATTCCATTTCTTGCTTACAAATAATACATTTAAGGACCCTTTTCAGTACCATTTTTTTTTTTAGAAGAATACTGAGTCACTAAAATGGTATTTAGTAGGACTTAAGAAAACAGTCCCATAGCTGAAGCAGATTCTAACTGGTTATTTTAGTAAATTTTCCACAATTCGATAGGTTAATTTCATTACTTGACCTCATCTCTAAAAATGAAATCTTTATAATAGCATCCAGTGGTCATAACACTAGCAGATTTGAATATTTGTGAATATTAGCAGAAGGACTTTAGGTAGGATCAGAAAAGCAAGTAAGTCAGAAATACATTTGAACAAGGGAATGGTAGTCACCTCACCTCATATTCACTGAGAATATGGGGAATCTGCCTTCTGTGTTTTATATTTAGAAGTCAGATGTCCTGTTTAATAGTAATTTGACTACTTAGTGTCCCCACTCATCAGGATTTAGGAAGCACTTGTTCTAGTAGTCATTGCCTGTTTGTAGATTGTCAGAATCTCCCAAATTCCCTTCATTTTTTTTTTCTTTGTGATGAGAAGTAAGATACCATCCCTTAAACAAACAAATAAAGCAAACCTGGTGCAAAAAGAATGATATCCTATATTCTAGATTTATTTAATTTCTGGTTAGTACATAGTCATTTTATACCATAGCCCTTTAACCTCATTCATACATTCTTGCAAGAAATTTCCAAACAGAACTTAAAGGAGAAATCAGGTTGTTAAAATTCATTTTCATTCAGAGTTAACAATTTTTAAGCTATGTACTTTGAAGAGGAAGGTTCCAAAAATGACAGTATTGTAACATTTAACAAGCAATGCAATACATTTTACTTTTCCAGGGAAATTCTCTAGGAATTTTAATTGCATGATTTTAATTTCCATATTAGATGTTGACAGGTGTGTGGTTATTATCAATTTGCATTGTTTGCAACAGCAGAATGAAAAGCATAAATACTTCTTATATCATTTTTGTTTGTTTGTTTCCAGAAAAGTGATATCAGTGTACAGTGTTTTTTATTCTTTTCACTGTTAGTCATTTCAAATCATGTTAAGTACTTCCAGCAGTTCTGGTAATCATTTAGTTTGTGCTGCTACCCAGAGATGTTGCAGGATGTGATATCGAGCAAGGCTGTGGGAGCCTGCTTTCTTTCCTAGTATTCCTGAACAGGCAGGGACCTGTGTTCCCACTAGTTCTACTATCACCAAGTGGAATTTGCTGATGAGGTGGGGACTCATTTTCCAGCAATAACATTGCAAAGATGCCTCTCCCCATTCTTGTTTCTCTCATCATGGAGATAATACACTAAGCTAGAAAAATTTAAACTGGAAGGCATCTCTGAAAATAATATTACATTTCATATTTTTACAGATAAGAAATAGGAAAGCTAGGGAATACCTGGCTGGCTCAATTGGTTGAGTATCCTACTCCTGGTTTCAGTTCAGGTCATGGTCTCAAAGTCATGAGACTGAGCCCAGTGCCAGGCTCTGTGCTCAACATGGAGACTGCTTGAGATTCTCTCTCTATCCCTCTCCTTCTGCTCCTACCCACCCATGTGCTCTCTCTCCACGTGTGCTTACTCTCTCTCTCAAATAAATTATTTAATTAAATCTTAAAAAAAGAGAAAAACAGAAACAGGAAAGTGAGATATTTTTTCCCCAAGATGATGTATATACATTATGGTACAGCTGAGATGTGAGTCTGGCCTCCCTGACTCTGGGAAAACCAAGATGAGAGTTGGAATAAACCTTTAGGTCAGCAGAAGCATCACGTGGGAAACATGAAAACAAGGCAGAGAAAATATGGTGATGAGCAAAGAGTGATGAACTTCTTTCTTAAAATCTAAGGATTATTTTCAAAATAAATTATAGCTACTGTTGTTTAAAACCATTTTTCAATAGCATTTAACTGAAAAACAGTAGGGGTGGAAATTTGTAATAGGGATAAGAAAATGGAATGGAAAAGTAAGATGCTTTTGAGTTAAAAAAAATTAATTGCAACATAACTGCAAAAACTCAAGGGTGCGAGAAAAATGTAAAGAAGTAGGAAAAGTTATGAATATACCTGTCTGCCAAACCACCATTGGTGTTTTTGCACATTTTGTCCCATCCTTTTAGGGGCTGCATTTTTCTTTATTATCTGATACCCCTCATTTAAATGTGTGTTTGATAATTTTGTGGCTTATTATTGAATTGCAAGTATTTCTCATGTCATATTATAAAACATTTATCCATATAAAATTGGCTATATTTGTACGATGTTCTATCATCATGTCATAGTTCATTTTACTGTCAATTCCAATTTTATTTCATATTTAGGGTACATATAGTCTTTGCTAAATAAATGGCATTATAGATATCTTTGTGCATAAGTACCTATCTTCATTTTATTTAATTCTCATAGAATAGATTTCTAGATCTGGAAATGCAAGTTGGATGATAAGTAGGTTTTGAAGAGAAAGGGTGAATGTTAGGAATATTTTAAGGAAGTAGAGAACATTTAAAAACCCTTTAACTTCTAGCCTTTCATCTTTAGGAATCTTAAAGTCTACATATTTTTTTTACAGGAATTCCTTTTCTTCTTCCACCCTCCCTAACTCCTCCCGCCCCCCCTACTCCGTGACTTTGGAGGCTTCTTGACTCATCTTCTATGCAGATTAGGAGCTTAAGTTTGAAATAAGGCAGAACACAATATTTAGGTTAAGGAGTCACTTTGCCAGTTTTCCCTATTTTTGTTTCTTGCCAAACCTTATAATTCAGGGCTGTATTTCTTGTCTCTTAAAATTTCCTAGAATTTCTCTTAAATGTCACTAATTTTAATGGCTTAGCAGTGGCAGTGCTGCTTTCTGGCAGTGCCCTGATAATGGCATCAAAGCAAAGAGCTAAAATTTTACTCACTTTGATTGATGAGCTCATTTTGTTACAGAGGACAAATTGGATTTTTTTTTATATTGGTAATAAAAATTAATGTGTGATGTTGCTTTTTGGATGTTATTGGATCTCTGCCTTAATACAGATTTCAGCAATAAAAACACGAGCAGATATCTTGACCAGAAAGTTACCTCCCTCCCCTTTAAACTACCCTTAAAAGTAGAAGATGCTTTTCTAATTTTGTGATCTTGGTGTGTGCATATATATATGTATGTATTGGTCTCAGTGGGATTGAGGACTACGGGGAAAGTGATGGCAGTGTGGTAATACTCTGTGTTTCAATTTTCCATCTAATTGTGATGTTTATTTCTTTTTATTTCAGCACCTCCAAGGTTTACAAGAACTCCCGTTGACCAGACAGGGGTCTCTGGTGGAGTTGCCTCTTTCATTTGCCAAGCTACAGGAGACCCAAGACCTAAAATTGTCTGGAATAAAAAAGGAAAGAAAGTCAGCAATCAGAGATTTGAGGTATTAGGTCCATTGTTCTGTTTCTCTGGGGGAGAAATGTATCTGCTGTATCTTTGGTTTGTATATTACTTGCTTATTTTACCGTGATATGAAGTGTGATAATCACTGAGACATGGCCTTCTTTTTGTTGCTTGTGTTGGGAAACTTAGTTCTAAATGGCTTTTTAAAAAGGAATTTGTGGGTTCGGGTGACTAACTTTGTATTAAATGGTACCAGGCTCAGGGTTCTTGGGATCCGTCTATTAGCCTCATCCTCAGACTGTTTCCCCATAAGATTTCAGTATGTGAGTCTCACATCTTCCCACAACGGAGGCTAGAAGATGAGTGAAAGCTCCCTATGCTCCCAGGTCTCACTGAGTTACTTACTTGTCCCTGGACTAGTGTGTATGGACAACTGGATGGTACAGACCAACTACTTTCGGTTAATCAGACTCTACGTCTGTTCTGGGAAGGAAGTTAGTTCTATCCAGCCCTATGGCCTGGAGCGGGGAGGCAGTGTTTTCCCATAGTGGATTCAGGTGCCTGTGACAGGGAAGAAGGGGAATGGGTACTGAGCAGCAAATGAAGTTGTCCACTGAATCTCACAGCTGTGTTTTACAAGTACCATGAACTAAAATGGGACATTAACTCCAGTTGTTGGCCTAAGCATGACTCTGGAAGAACATACCCAACCAGGATGAAATGGCATTTAAACCTTTGAACAAATTACACAAGAAAGCTCAGTGACTTGAAGATGATAAAGCATAATTCAGATATTATTTTGAATGTTTTTAAGGAGACTAATGGTTCAGAAATCTGCTCGTTTTGGAGGAGAAAAATAGATAATGATATGCAGAGAAAAATTGGAAGCAGCACACAATAACATGCCTGAATTTAAGACCTGATGAAAATAGCTTATTCTTAAAGGATAGAAAGACCTCTAAACTGCCCCAAAGTGTAAAACTCACTTTCTCTTGCCTGAGTTTCTGACATACTTCATAGCCTAATTTGTAGTTTGGCAAAATAAAGGCAATTTCTGGTTAAAAGAAATACAGCAAGTACAAAATTCAGAACATTTTTGATTTTACCCATTTTTGCCAGTTTTCACAGAGCAATATATAGTCCAAATCCCTTTTTAAAGGGTATAATTAATTACACTGGTAGAAATTTAAATGTAGACTTCAGTTTACAAATGATAAATTTTTAAAATTATGTTTGTTTGACATCAAATACTTACAGTGATTAAACATTAAAAAAAACTTAATCACTGAGAAATATTTCCTCTATCATGTAGAAAATGATGTGTGTGTGATCTGTAGTATACACCTCTTTTAGTTTAAATGAATTTGAATTTTTTTTTTTTATCAAAGAGGATTTCGACATCATACTTGCTGGTGACAGTATAACAACGATTAAATTATAATAGGAAATGTTTCAAAGCATGAGCTCTACTCATTGCATAATTCTGAATGAGAATCATATAGACACAGCCAAGGAAAATTAGTTATTTTTACATGAAGCATGTATATCAAATAGTGTTGGGTCTTGTGTTGATAATCTTTAAAATCTGTAATAGTATATATGTATTTTTGTTTTGCTAGTTTATAAAGCCTATAAGAGCCCTAAGTGAGAATGATTTTGTTTGTTCTATCTCCAGTGGCAATTATAATGTCTGGCTTAGAGTAAGTAGGGCGCAATCAATACCGGGTATTAAATAAGATTTTCAAATTGGAAATCGCAACATTGGCATATAATGTGTAGTGTAGTGTTTGTTGAAAGAGGCTAGGTCTACACTAGGAAATAGTTCAGAAATGTAAACCTATAGTGACACATAATAGTTAGTTGTTAAGGGAGTAGGTTCTAAGCCCTCACATCACAGGAAGAACTTTTTTTTTCTTTTCTTTTTTTTATATCTATCTGAGATGACGGATGTTAATTAAACCTACTGTAATAGTCATTTCACAAAACATGTAAATCAGACTATCACATTATATGCCTTAAACTTTATACAATGGATGTTTGCCAATTATTTCATAATAAAACTGGAAAAAATCAAAATTTAAGATGGCATTAAGGATATTTAAGCCTTTCTCTACATTAAGCCATGAGATGTATTATATGTAATATATGTAATATATTTTAAATATATATTTATATTTAGAAATATATGTTTATTTATATGTGTTTACAAATATATATAAATGTTGTCAGATAATTCAAGTACTACTTCAGAAACTGATGATGGTGATGATGATGAGATTCATAAATATGGGTATGAAACTGTGGAGTCCTCTCCCAGTCTTTTCTAAAACTATGCTGTGTTCTTTCAGCTGGTCACTGGGGTGCTGTGCTTTCTGGTTTATAAACATAAAAATGTTTAATGTTTATAAATTAAATGTTTATAAAAATATAGAGATGTGTTTGTGTATATATATATATTCAATTATGACATACTTGTCAAAGATTCTAGTTAACTATGAAAGTTATTTCTCCCATCACGCATGGTGGATTCGTTCTAAAATATGTGCTTCATAGAACTGAAAATAAATTGTAGTGCATTGGGAAGTGGGACATTTTGGGTATCTCTGAATTTAAAACATGATAGAACACAGAAAGGACATGAAGTAGGTATATTTTAAAAACATTTGATCTTTCTTCTGTATGTTGACATAAGCACATTTTCACACAAAATCGGGGATTAAACATCTCAATAAATGTATTTACAAAGCATTCTCAATTCATAATTTAGGCACATGGAACTATTAGTCACAGGGAAATGGAAAAAACAAACAAATCCCTCACCAAAACCGGGAAGCGCAGCTCCTCAGTGAGCAGCTGAAAGGATACAGCATAGTTACAGAAAAGACAAGCAGAAGACTCCACAGTTTTGTACCCATATTTATCAATCTCCTCCTCATCATCATTATCACTTTTTTGAAGTAGTACTTGAATTAGCTGACAAATATCTGGGATTGCTAAACTGCTTCAGAGTGTAGTCCATAAAGATAGTGAATTCAGTCTTACTCTTTAGAACATTAATTTTCTGCCCGGTGAAGCAAGCCTCCATTTTACAGCAAAAATGCCCTAAAAATGCAGAAAACGCTAAGCTAGAACAAATACTGGAATGATTTATAGCAAAATTAATGCATGCCATCAGTCTCTTGGGTTGTGAAAGCCATCTCATTGGCTGCCTAAATATTAGATTTATGCAGTTTCTCTTCATGGTTTGCTCCTCCGTACTGTTCAGGATGAAATACTTCAAGCCAGAAGAGCTATCTGTGGTAGTATACATTATATCTCCACCTTACAGTCCAATTATTGAGTAGGTCCACATATGCATACATGCTGTGAGAGACAGAAGATAACCTTCGAGAAGGTTACCCCTCATAGCAACAAGTCTCTTGCAAAATTAACAGGAACAAATTGTCCTACATACACATACTAGAATATTTTCACGAGTAGACCATGGATGATTTTCAGTAGACTTTGCATCTGTGGCTACATGCCTTTCCCTTTGTTCAGGAGAAGATTCGTTAAATTAAACCAGTTTTTCCGTTTTACTACTATGTATCAAAATTCAGTCTGAAAATGCTGCTGTATTAGTCTGAGCCAAAAGACTGGTTCACCACTGTATTAAGGTTTAGCTGAGTGGTAGACAATTGTAACAACACCTGTGACAGCTATTGTTTCCTCTAATAGGTAATAGAGTTTGATGATGGATCTGGATCGGTTCTCAGAATACAACCCTTACGGACTCCACGGGATGAGGCCATTTATGAATGTGTGGCCTCAAATAACGTCGGAGAAATAAGTGTATCCACCAGACTCACAGTTTTGCGTGGTAAGTACTCAAGTACAAGGTTGTTCCTTGTGTTATTGTTGAAATTCTGTATCCCTGGTGTTCTTTTGTGGGACCACTAAAGTGCCTAGAGTTTTTATGACACTTAAATGGGAAATGAATTTAAATGCAATGTTTATAAGGGTGAAACATTTAGACAGAGAGTGCATGCCTCTTCTCATGATTCTTGAAGAATGTTGTCCAGGAAAAAAAAAAAGAGAAGTATTGATTTCTAATGCAAAATGCCATTATGATTTTTGGTAGAGTACCTAGAAAAGAAATAGGACATACTCATCTTTTCAAGTTAGCATTGCTTCTGTATGGATTCTTTGTACCAAGGTTGGCCAGTACTTTTTACAGATTACCACAACTGACACTGATGTCTGCAAAATTAAAGGAACATCTTCTGCCTAAAGATTAGTTCCTCATAAATGGAGGTATTGAGAAAAACAAAGGCACCTTATGTCTTTATGTCAAAAAATATATTTTTATTTCTGTCTTTTATATTTCTTGAACATCTGTTAATGCTAAGTGAGTGGAAACATTGTGCCCACTGCTGTGATTCCTGTTATGTGGCTTATGCAGTTTGACCAAAGTATGAGATGACTTGCCAAAGTATGAGATGACTTGCCAAATCTCTAGTACAGTGTGTCTGCTTTCTAGACTTTCTTTAGAACATCAGTACTAGAGAATGAAGGCTAGTGATTAATAATACTCTGTTGGGCATCTCTGCATCAACGTTTTGTGAAGAGATAAGAATATTGCCTGAATTGACTTCCTTAGTAGTTGACATCTCCTAACACTCTTGTGCCTTTATGTCTTCCTCTCTCACACACACTTTCATTTGTTTGTTCATTGTGTTTTGCTTTGAACTTCATTTTGCTGGATTCCACCACTTACAAGAATGAAGGGAAGTGGAAGGAAAAAAGGGATCAAAATTGCATTACTGGGTGCCTGGGTGGCTCAGTGGTTTAAGCCTCTGCCTTCTGCTCAGGTCATGATCTCAGGGTCCTGGGATTGAGTCCTGCATTGGGCTCTCTGCTCGGCGGGGAGCCTGGTTCCCCCTTTCTCTCTCTGCCTGCTTCTCTGCCTACTTGTGATCTCTGTCTGTAGAATAAATAAATAAATTCTTTAAAACAAAATAAAACAAAACAAAATTGCGTTACTATAGAGGAATATAACATGGATTAAGAACATTTGTTCTCCACTCCATTTTTTCCCATTGTGGTATGTATTTACTCTGTATGTTTTATAAAATCAAAACATTTCCTTCTGGATCTTTGATTACCAAATCAATTCGTTATTCCAAGAAACCTAGGAAGTAGGATTACTTACTTACACATCTTAAAATATGTTTCAAATGTTATAAATATCTTACTAAGTCTCAGGAGAAATATTGACCAACTGGATATAGATCTTTTAAATGCATGTAACAGAATGATGCTTAAAAACAAGTAAGTCAGCTTTGAGCTACAATTCCGTCCATTCTGAGAAGTTATTTACACACAAAGTTCTCATCTTCCTATAAACTCATGAAGATGTTGATAAAATATCTGAAAATAAAACTAAATGCTTGATTAGGCTTGCAAACAAGAAAGAAGTTTCCTGGTGCTAAAAACAAAGAAAGAATCTCCAGAGAACAGATAATTTATAATCTCATAACCCAAGATAATAATCAAAAGGACTATATGTTTTAACTGCTGGAGTTTTAGCTCTGCAGTAGCATATAGGCCTATAGAAAACAAAATGAAGGTAAGAAGAGCTAGATCAGCTTTCTGCAGAAAGGTGAGGATTCTAGCTCCACTTTTATAGTGTAATACTCAAGATTAGAAGCAGGCATAAAAAACAGCCAGACACAGTGATTCTCACAGAGTGTGGAAGAGGCATCCATGTAAGTACTCACCCCACAGAGATGCCCCCACAATTCAGCATATACAACCCCAGATAAGGTCATTCATACCCAGATGGGCTCATAACTACTAATTCTCAAGCATGAAAGCTAGCTCTCACTCATGAAGAACAGTAAGCCCAATCAAGGAGAGTAGAAATCATAGTTTGTGAACTATAAATAATTGGACTGTATGAATGGGTTTGGGAAAAAAATGTATTTTAAAGATTTGAGAGGCACCTGGGTGACTCAGTGGGTTAAGTGTCTGCCTTTAATCCTGGTCATGGTCCCAGGGTCCTTGGATAGATAGCCCTGAGCTGGGCTCGCTGCTCCGAGGGGAGCCTGCTTCTCCTTCTTCCTCTGCCGCTACCCCGCTTGTGCTCGTACGCGCATTCTTTCTCTTTCTCTCTGCCAAATAAATGAATAAAATCTTCAAGAAAAAAATACAGGTTTGAAAAGATAACGAAGAGTAAAATCTCTCAGGCAAGAATAAGATATTGGGGGGGGGAGAGAGCAGATGGCAGTTAGAAGTCAGATTTTAGAACTGGAAGGATTCTTAGTGACTATGTTTATTAAGACTCTAACACGTACTTCAAGATATATGTACATATATGAATATACACATATGTGTTCACATAAACTTAACAGGTCTGAAATTGTAGAAAAATTTTTTCAGGTGTTCACACCTGAGACAAACTCAGACTCATTTGTTGATTTTCTTTTTAAAAATTTTAATCTTCATTTCTTTACCTAGTTTAGAACTAATGCTGTTATGTAGAAAGTGTAATACAAAGGTACAATAAAGTAAAATCTGCCAAAAACCTTTTTTTTTCTTTACCTTCTGATTTCCTTGAATTCTCCCCTTGAAAGGAAACAGTAACAGTCATTTGGCTTGATTTAATCTTTATGCATTGATGAAGAGACTAGCAAAAACTTGGGAGGAAAGTATCATTTTACTTAGGCTTTCACATAGATTTATGTTTTCCTGCCTCCCAGCTGATTAGGGAGCCCCATCTCATCTACTTTTATTCACCAAGCTCCCCGATAAAACAAATACACGTGAGAATTTTAACATGATCTTGGCTTTCTGTGTGAATAGCTGTCATGTATAAGTACCTTGTATGAAAATTTATGATTCTAGTAAAGATAATTAAACCTTTTGTTTTAAAGATTATGTTTAGCAATTTTGGAAATGTTTCATGAGAAAAACCCAAAGGTATTTTGGATAATGGAAAAGTAGTCTAAACATAACTTAGAATACTTTTCATATATCCCTGTGGGATGAAGTAAATGGGCTGGGAATTATCTTTTTTTCCCCTAGGGTTACCTCGTAATCTTAAATTTCTAAATAACTAAGTATAATTCTATTAATAATAGTCTGGCAAAATATTCCAAGAGTAAAATCACATTCATAGAATATGAACATGGTGCACAGTTAATTAAAATGAATGTGAAGAGTTTCATACTATACTTGTTGAGCTTTGTGCCCGTTTTTGAGTTAATTTGCACTTGCAGATCCCCTTGGCGGATACTCAAGCTCTGTGCTCTGCCGTTGGCTGATAGTGATGTACACTTTGAGTCAGTGGCCTTCATCAGATGCCCATTTCGTCCACATGGGTCATTTATTTTTTTTTCCTACTTTGCTGACCATGCCAAAAATGTGCCAACTGTCATGACGGGTTTTGTCTAAGTGGACTGGATGGAGATCACTAATTTATTTCACACAGGCTACTAGAGAACCTAATTAATTGGAGATTTAAACATCTGAACTGTGTGGCTAATGCCGAAGACAGTGAAATAACACTCTGACCACCCATGTGCATTAAAGGGAGTATTTCAGGGGAAACTTTCCCTCTGTAGCTTGCTTCAAATTACCCTCACTCTGAAAAACTGTTTTCATAAGGAAGGATAACTACAGACTCAGGCTGAACATGCCCTGGAATGAGATATTTAGGCAATTACCACTCATACACTGTGCACCGTAGTTCACAGAAGAAGCAGTATGAGAATGGGGAGTTGAATGCTGTATGTATGGCCCCTAGGTCATATTTTAATTTTTTAGGCTGCCCTGCCTTTGGGAAACACAAGCAAAAGCAGCTCCCCTATTCTGCAATACTTGAGGATGCTGATGTGTGTGTCTGACATGCACATGTTTTTCCCTCTTGGGCAGAACTTTTAAGTGAAGGCTTCGGATGTCATTGAGAGGTTATTAAGGGCTGAGACTTGCCTAATTGTAGAATTGGAAGGTTTTTAGATTAAAAATGAGGCTTTCAAGGGCACAAGTAGGACCGGATAGGGTGTTCCAAGAAGAGGCTCATTATCCAGATGGATTTAGTTCTTTCTGAATCTTTGCTTCACCAGTCATAATTTCTTACCAATGTTTGTCAGGGGAAGTCTTGTAGTATAAATGCATATAATGATAACCGGGGCTGAAAAGATTTTCTCAGTTACATGTACCAGCCACTGGGCAGGGAAAACTGAGATGTTACCGATTTTGCCTCTAATTGTCTGACTATATGTCATGTTTCTTGAATTTAGATCCTTTTCAAAGAGTATCCAGAAAATGCATGTATTATTGTCATCTAAAACAGCATGTAACACATTATTTTTTAAAGCTTAGTGGACTATTTTTGGAGACCTTCCCATTCCCAAATAGCACTGCCCTCAAAACTACTACCAGCACCAGTACGACAAAACAGGGTGTAATACATAACAATATTGTTCTCACCTACTGACAGGAAACTAGCTTTTTCATAGAACACATATAAAGTAAAATTATTGCCTAAAAAGATAACCCAATATGAGATAATTCAATTACCTAGTTTTGCAGATGTATCTTATGAAATGGTACTTATGTTTACTTCACACACACAAATGCATCCTATTTTATGAATGATCGCCATCAAGACATAAGACAATATACAAAGTTTCCAAGTCTCAGTCACAGGTAATTTGAGTTCCAACTCTGTCTCTGTCCCAAAATAGCTATGGCATCTTGAGCAAATGTGTTAACTTCCATATTTCCTCCTCTTCCTCCTTCATCATCTTTTTCTTTCTCTTCCTCCTTCTCCTCTTTCTTCTTCATCTATTATTATTTTTATTTTTTTATCTTCAC